CGAATCCACGGAGATTGATTGAATTTTATAACTCGATGAAAAATCTCTTTGTAAAAATACTTGTAAAATGACAATAAAAGTAAAAATGGGGATTTTGGTTTATTTAAAATACTTGAAATAAAATTAGAACTAAACTAAGATTTAAATGGACAATTCAACAAAAATAAGAGTTTGATGTAAAATCAATAAGGGAAAAATGGTTGACTTAAGGTTTCCTCACTTTGACTTTTGATGAACATATCATCAGAATCCAATTGTGCAATACTTGTTTTAAAGCCGTAATTTGGCTATAGTAATCCAAGATGCTTGAGATTACCTATACTTTTCTTAGTTGTTAAAATGGTTAGAGAATCTCATAACAATTTCCTTAGTCAAAGTCACAATTTCCATTAAGCATGTACTTAGTGAAAGTCAACTAGCATTAAGAACGAAAAAGTTACCAAATCCAACAGGAGTCAAATGCTTTCACTACTATGTTGGAGAAAATGTTTTTATCATTGTGTGAGGAAAAAACAACACAAAAATCATTTGTTGCTTGCTAATTTGAGGATCCTTTACTTAATCAAGAAATTAGCCAACTAATCACCAAAGACACATTTAAACTCATGAATAAAAACATACAAGTAGTAATAAGATGTTGAAACAAAAAACATTCTCATAAGGATTCTAGAACAAGTTCATGGAGTCTTCAACATTCAAAAAAAAATTCAAAGGATTGCACAAAAGTCAACCAAATTTTATTTAGCCTAGCATGGCTAAAATCAAGAAACTAAAGCTAAAGTAAAATGTACCAAGCATGAATTAAGATTTAGAGATGAAAAGATGATGTTCTTCAAGGTTCTTGGCCTTCAAAGACTCCAAAAACTCCAGAGAAAGTGCTCCAAAATCGGATGTGCGAGTGTTTAGAAAAGTAGCACACCAACCTTCCCCATATAGACTTCCAATTGAATTTCCGAAATTGCCCCAACAGAAATCCATGCGGGCCGTGTAAGGATTCCACCCGAGCCACATGAATTAACGGTGTATGGATCTTCTTCACTTGTTAGGCCTCCACAACTTAGTCCATCGGCCCATTTTGAGCCTGATCAGCTATTATGTCATTTTCTTCATTTTGAGGCCAATTTGTCTTCTCCAAATCACCCATAGCTATCGTAATCACCAAATCATCAATTCTCGCATGCTTGAAAAATTCTTCCATCTTCATTTAATTAAGTGACCATCTTCTTCGATGCTCCATCCATCTAAAGCCCATTTCTGAATCACCTCCATTAGATATTAATCCCAAGATCCTTGTTGTCCTCCAGGTCCAACCGCTTTCCCTACGTCCCAAACATTCCCGCTCCGCTAAACTCCAAAAACCCGCAATTATGTTCACGAAATTCGAAAGTACCCGCAAGTGGTCATAAAATATCAAAAAGGAAAATGTGCATGGAAATTAACTAAAATATGAATGAAATATACTAAAATAAACTATAAAAATAAGTAAATAAAATAAAACTATCAGTTATGCATTGGTTTACTTAAACACATCTCGTAACTGGATGATATAAACGGTAATTCCATATGTGATTTGATGTGTGAATTGTATGACTGTGTAGTCAATGTAATTCGTTCCTTTTGCCCTAAAATGAAAAGTGATATCATTGGGCCCCTCAATGATTTGATGTTGACTATGTATAGTGATGGGTCCAGTCATGACTAATTGATGTGCTTAATTTGAAGTCCAATAAAGTCTTTACAAATTGGGAAATCGTGAAATAGAATCTTGTACAATGAGATTAATTTTGATCCCTTTCTCATTTCCATACGATATACTGATTAAGGAAGGAATAGGTGATCACTTACTTTAGGGCCAATAACGGATTTGAATAAGAGTTTGGCAGTGGCTTTGAATATCACTCTTTGTTGTTTATTTCAAGGTCTATACTTGCAATTATATTTACAGACTTACCCAAGTGGAAGACTGTTGGATTAAGGTGTCTAAACCAATAAATAAATTGGTATATTCTTGAATTAGAAGCAAAATCATTTTTGGGTTGCCCTCAAAACTAGTATTTGGATAAAATGACTTTTGGAGGTAGAGGTTGATATGTTAATTTATTATATGATTAATAAATTGATTAGAAATAAAAATTAATGATTTGTTAAAATATTATGAGATTAATATATTAATTAGAAATATTATTATTTAATTAATAATTAATCAGAAATTAATTACAATTAATTTTGGGTTTAATTGGATTAATTAAAAGAGCAAGGGTTGAAACTGCAATTGTTTAATAGTTGTACAAGAAAGTATTCCAGAACCTTCCAACCCCTTGAACGAAATTAAGGAGTGTTTTTAAGCTGTTTGGAGTATTCCTTATGGATAATTAGGAAATTAGATAATTTCGGATTTAAAATAATATTATTTTATTTCAAATTAGGGTTGCTAGAATTTTCCTATTAGCTATAAGTATGTTCCTTCCCCCATCATATTTTCATCCACCACATACACACATACAAGAGCCGAAATTTTTCTCTAGCATCGTCTCTCTTCAAGTCTTCTTGCTACTAGGGTTTTGGTTACAAGCCATTAAAGGCACCCATTCCTTTATTGCTAGCTTTCCAAGATCTAGAAGAAGGATTCTGCTTTGATTATTTGCAATAATAATCAGAAGGTATGTAACCCTAATTTTATATGAATTTCAATTTCATAGCCTCTCTCCTGGAGTATCTTGATATTCATAGTTAGTTGCTATTAATAGAGAAAACATAGATCCAATCTAGGTTGCATGTGAACTTAAGGGTTAAGTGTTTTTTCCGCCACATGTAAATATTTTATAACCTAGAAAACCCATCAATAACTTCTTCGTTACTAACCCGTGTTCGATGTTATTTATACCCACATTAAGGTGGGAACATACTCTAAAACTCTATTAAGTTGTATCTCAACGACATAATACGGGTCTTAATTTGTTAAGTCATAAAGATGACCCAAAAACATAAAATTTCCCATTTTACCCTTGTGGGAAAAATACATCTTATCATGCATTATTTCTCTTGAACTTGCCCATCTAACCTCTTCTAAGTGACTTAAACTCTTATTAGACATTTTCATGAAGTCATAACTTTAGAAGCTCATCTCTTTCTCATAATTGACCATTTTACCCTTTTGGTCAATATTTGACTAAAAGTTAACTTTCACTAAATTTCATCAGTTTCTTGTTATGTATTTATTTAAGATTATTTCTAATTTATTTTGATGTTGGGGTTTTTCCTGGTCGCAATGCAGTGATGGGAACCACTACGACATAACCATGTCATTTGTATAGTGACGTTGTCATGAGCGTGACCGTGGTGTGGTGGTGGCTGGGCTCAAAACCCTAAATCTTAGGCGTTGAGCCCTATATAAGGTGCTAATCCTTAGGGTTTCTCTTTAATGTAGCCTCCATCTCCTGAAAGAAAACGCTAATTTGGTGTGTGTGTGTGTGTGTGTGTGTATTTTATGAGTGTGTATGAGACATCCTTAGCCTTGAAGCATTCTTTGATGAAGAAGAAGGCTTTTTTGGAGCTTTTGGAGTTGTTCTAGGTGAGGTCTTTGCATTCAAACTTCTAGATCCTTAGAAGGTATCAAATGTATATCTTTTGGCATAATGTTGGTTTATTATTGCTTTCATCCCTTCTGCTAGTCTTTTGAGGAGAGATTATTGGAGTGAAAGTAACTCCGGGACTCTTACTTGAGATTGGATGTTTTGTTGACCTTTTGTACCCATAAAATTAGAAGCTTGATGTATTTTCCCATTCATGCATTAGTTTTGCTTCACTTTGGTCCCTTAGAGGAGTTAGGATTTTAGATCTAGAGAAATGGTGCATGAGAGATGGATTTTAAGGTTAGGAGTTTCATGTATTAAGCTATTTTTCATGTTAACTCGTCGTGGTAGTAAGTAGGTCGTGATGTGGTTCGCAAGTTCCCAACATGGCTGTTTTTTCAATTAGTGAATGTGGCGCGACCAAGGAGTTGGTCACAGCGCGGTGATCAGTGAGGGTTGATCATTGGATATTAAAATTTTGAACAATTTGACTTTTTGTTAAGCTGATGATTTGGAATAGTTGATTGAGGTTTGACCTCTGCCAGGTTAGGAGGGTCGTGTAGCTGTCTCAACGAGACGTAGAGTGTTGATCTTTCAACTTAGCGATTCAGGTGAGTTTCTCAGTGTGTTACCAATGTTACTATGACACGATTGTATGTTAGATTGGTGGGTCTTGCTTGTTGTTTGTATGACTGCATGCTTGTTGGCTGAAATATGTCATGGGATGAAACACGCCATTAGTTGAAACAGGTCGTAGTCTGAAACAAGCTATGGGCTGAAACAGGCCATAGGCTAAACTTGGTCGTTGGCCGACATAGGCCATTAATGCTATGATTAGTAATTTGTAATGTATGTGATACTTTAGGAACTCACTAAACTTTGGCTTACAATTGTGGATTAAATGTTTTAGGCACTTCGTTTGATCGTGAGAATGCAAATGCATGACTATACACACTCTTCGACAACTTTCATATTTTGTGATTTCACGTTAATTATGTTCCACTCCAATTTTGAGATTTTAATTATTGAACAAATGGTTTTTGGATATTATGGTGAATGAAATTGGGGTATTCTATCATATTAAAAATGGAAAAAAAAAAAAAATAGTAAAAATTAGGACGGGTACACATAGGGACCAAAATGTATTTTACTCAATTATTATTTGTAGACATAATTAAATAGTTTTTCAAATTTGTATGTTTCGTTCCTAACATTTGTTTTTGGTACATGAATGGTCTCTATTGTTTCTATTTTATATGTTGTTGGTCTCTAACCAATATAAAAATAACTTTTAAACCCTTTTTAATGTATTTTATATATTTTTATTAAAATAACTTTAATTAAAAACAAATAAATAGATAAATAACCCCCACCCATTTCTCTAAGCATCTTTCCCTATTGGCTCTCTAAGTATCATCATTGACATTAATGGAAGAAGCTTTAGTAGGTCAGTTGTCTTTCTTCATTCATTGATTTCTCTATCCTTCAAGAGAAATTAAATATTCTGTTACTTTTTGTTTCTATTATCTTCCTACCTATTTTAGATGGTGACAAGTGCCTTTCAATTTAACTTAAATTTGATTAAGATGATAAATTTATACACTTGTCATCATCTTAAATGGATAAGAAGACAAATAGGAACAAAATATAGGAGGATATTTAATATCTCATCCTTTAATTTCTCTCTCCCGCTGCCCTTCTCCATCTTCTGGTTTCTATAAGAATTGCTTTTTTCATATATGTACATGGTCAAAAATCTGCAACATGCAATAAAGCCGGTACCAAATCATGGGTTTGGGACTATGGAGAGAATATACAATAAATTGAGACCATAAAGATAATCCTCCTCAAGAAGAAAAGATTAAAAACTTAAATAGTAGTGACTTTTTACAAAACACATGGGCCATTTGTGTAATTTTGTCTTCATAAAATAAGCAAATACATAAGAAAACTAAAAAATCATTTATGTTATTTAGGATAAATACATTCCAAAAGATTATAAAAGAATGGATTTTTAATCCATCTAAATTCAAAACATATACAAAATCCCATAAAACAATTCATCAATCCAAAAGCATACTATTATTATAATTAGCTTAAAGTAGGGAATTAGGGTTTTACTTTTCCGCAAGACTAATTCTTCTTTTTCTTTAAGTTCTTATTTATTTATTTATTTTTAATAAACAATGTGCAAATTGGTCGTTGACTTTTATTTCTGGACCTTTAATAAAGCAGGAAGTATTCAGTGCAATAGCTATTCCTTTCTTCTCTGATTCTGTTTTACTCAGTCAGATTTCGTCTCCCATCTCTCGCCGTCTACCTTCCTTCATCGTTGACACTCGCCATTTACCTGCCGGCTCACCTCCGCTCGCGCTGTACTTTTCACCTGTCATCCTTCGCGGTACGTCGCCATTTATCTTATCAATCATAAAATCAGATAATAATCATTTGGTTGTTCATTAATAAAAGGTGACTGTGATTTCAATTACTTTTGCTGAATTTTGTATATCAGTTAGGGTTCCACAGACTCGAATATGTACTTCCTTAACTCCTCTCTATTTTCCAATTCACAAACACGATTTTTTACATATGAGTATTTTTGAATCTTAACAGTTAGCTAAACTCCCATAAATGAACATGTTTTAATATGCGATTTTAATAATCCAAAATTGCGTGGTGAACTTGCTGAGCTGTTAAACCCAGATTGTAAGAACTTTTAGTGTTATATTCTATGAATCAGACTTTGTAACCAAAATCTTTGAAGAGGTGTGACTCTAGTTTAATATTCATATCATTAATTTGGATGGATAAATTCAAATTTGAAAAGATTGTTCTTGCGAATATCAGGGATCTATAAACAACCACGTCAAGAAACTAATTCTTTCTTGCGTTTGGATCTTTTAATTGTTTGTTCATATCTAGTGAAATTTGGGAATTGCCAATACGTTTCTGCAATTCCTTTCTTAAGATGTAATACTAGATCCTGATGTTGTTTGTAGAATGGCTTATTTGGTGTTGATTTGTTTGAGGATTGTTTAACTTAACTCTATAAGGAAATTGTTTAGGCAAAATTAGGGATATTTGTAGTGGGTTAATCAGATTAAAGTAAAGGTTTTGTAGGTTAATCAAAATTATTGGTTATTTCTGAAGCATACTGATCTATATGGAAAAGTTGGAGGTGCATATGTATATGTTTTAGTCATTTAAAATTTTTAATTTTGAAGATTATAATGTATTATTGTTGGTATATTTTTTGATGAGACTTAAGTTTGCATAAGGTATTAAAAATTTGGATTTTTTTTCTACAGACACAATTAAGGAAAGCGTGGGATTCAACCATACCTCATAATGGTTGTTCTATCTGAACTTTCTGAAGGATCTTCATCTTCTTCATCAACTCATAAATGTCATACATATGACGTATTTTTAAATTTCAGAGGTGATGACACTCGTCATGGTTTCACTAATCACCTTTATAATGCCCTCATTCATTCCAATATCACTACTTTCTTGGATGATGAAGAGATTGAAACCGGGGAAGATCTGAAACCAGAATTGGAGAGTGCCATTAAAGCATCTAGGGCTTCTATTATCGTGTTGTCAAAAAATTATGCTACTTCCACATGGTGTCTTGATGAACTGGTGTTGATCCTTGAGCAACATAAGGCATGCAACCATATTGTTATACCAATCTTTTATCATGTTGAGCCCGCCCATGTCAGGAAGGAAAAAAGTAGCTTTGGAGATGCAATGGCTAAACATAGACAGATGATAGAGGCAGAGACAGATGCAAATAATAGAAGTAAATTGGCTCAAAAGATTGAAAAATGGAATAAAGCGCTTATAGAAGTTGCTGATTTAAAAGGGAATGATGTTAAGGACAGGTAGCCACTTTCTTACCCATATTTCCATTCTCCTTTAATATTGTTTAATCAACACATTCAAATTCAGCATAATCTTCTCCTTATGCATGCATTTCAATACGTGTCTTCATATTTAACAAATAGGCATATTTTTTATGCATTTAGATTTGGACAAAGATATGCTTGAAATTGAGTCCAACTTTTGCAATTATGTGATCTCAAAAATTAAATCATATTGGCCAGTTAAACCATCATGCTAACTTGAACATTTTTTCTATGCATTTTTTTTATCTTATCATAGATTAGTTCATGTAGATAAATCATTTCAATGATTTTATATGCTTTTAACTACTAAACCAAAATTTGAACAGTCGTAATGCATGTACTATCTTTTATATCATTTTACCTTCAAACAATTAAACTATATCATCTTTTATTGTGATATTACAATGCTTTTAGTTGTAACTATTAAAGGTTAACTTAACTATTATAGATGATAATTCTGACCTTGCACATTAATTAGATGCGGACATGGTTAGAAGTGCAAATACAATAATAGTTATGATACGAAAAAATTAATTATATAATAGCTTAATGTGATATAATTTTTGTTTGGATCATTGGAAAAATTAAACCTCCGGTATAAGATGTTAGTTGTTTTGATTATGTTTTCTTGTTCTTACTAAAATCAAATTCCAGGCTAGAGGTGGAGTTTATTGATGAAATTGTCAAGGACATCTTCCGTAGATTACACATATCTTCAAGGTTTCCACTACCACAACTTATTGGGATGGAAGATTCCATTAAATTCGTCAATTCATGGTTGAAAGATGCATCATCACATACAACAAATATACTCACTATTTTGGGTATGGGTGGGATCGGAAAGACATCTTTAACCAAATATGTCTATGCATTACATTCTCATGAATTTGACTCATGCAGCTTCATTGAAGATATCGGTAGGAAATTTGATGAAAAATCAAATGGGATGCTTGGTGTACAAGGACAACTCTATAATGACATTTCAAAACCAAGTTCAGTTCAAGTTCTTGATGGTTCTATATACACCTCAATGATAGAGAATGCATTAGCCCGTAAAAAGGTGTTTCTAGTTCTTGATGATATTGGTAGTGTGGATCAGTTAGATGTGTTACTTGGAAGTAAAGGTCTTCATCCGGGATCCAAAATCATAATAACAACAAGGGACGCATGGTTGACTAAGAGTTGCGCACTATTCAAAAAGAATGTTAAACCCAAGCATGCAACGTACACGCTTAAGGGCTTATTTAAGACCGAATCACAAAAGCTTTTGTGTTTTCATGCATTCATGTGCAACGATCCCAAGGCAGGTTATGAAGAGGTGTCAAGAAAGCTAGTGAATTATTGTGAAGGACATCCAATGGCGCTTAAAATTTTAGGAAGGTCTTTACATGATCGAGATATAACTTATTGGGAGGGATACATAGACCGACTAAAGAAAGAAAATGATTCCCCTATAAATACGGTCTTGAGAATGAGTTTTGACTCTTTGCCATCAGATAATGACAAGGAGTTATTTAAGCATATTGCCTGTATTTTTGTTGGAATGGATATAGACTTTAGTGTAACAATATTAGAGGCATGTGATATAGAGACAAGATCAGGGATCACGAATCTTATTGACAGAGGTCTTCTTAGTAACAGATGGAATAAAGAATTAACGATGCATCAATTGGTTCAAGAGATGGGAAGATTTGTGGTACGTGAAGAATCACTTTACAAGCCATGGGAACGAAGTCGAATATGGGGTCATGAGTCATTCAAAGTGTTGAAAGACGAAAAAGTAAGATGCTATGTATACTTCTTTAAAGCATTTTATATTTCTGTATACATATCTAACATTTTAAAAATATGTTTGCATCCACTTTCTTCGTAGGGTACAGAAAATGTTCTAGGCCTCACTCTTGACATGAGGATGCTTGAGAAAGAGCAATTACATGGATCAATCGAGTTGAAAATAGATGCATTGAGTAAGATGGATAGGTTGATGCTTCTTCAACTTAATTATGTGCAAATAACCGGCTCTTGCAAGGATTTTCCAAAAAAACTAATATGGTTGTCTATGCATGGGTTCCCTTTGAAGTATGTACCTTTAAACTTACCTTTGGAGAATGTAGTTGCTCTTGACTTGTCATATAGCAAGATTGAATCATTTGGGATTTCTTGTAGCTATCCACAACGACTTCTTAAGAGGCTAAAGGTAACTTACCTCCATTTATTACTCTTCTAGGTCGATTTGATAAAGTTCACTACTTTTCTAACGTATCTCAGTTTCAGCAATTAACTGGATCATGCTCAAAAGCTAAAAAGTTGCTTGGATCGTTGAAGATTCTTAATTTAAGTTTCTGTGAACAACTTAGTATTCTTGGTGGCTTTGACCACCTCCCTAAACTCGAGAGGTTGATACTTAAAGGTTGCATTGGTTTGCTTGAGGTTTGTGAATCAATTGAGCAGTGTTTTGAACTTGTACACATCGATCTAAGCTACTGCGACAAGCTTGAAAAACTTCCAAGAAGCTTAGGCAAACTAAAGAAAGTTAAAACACTACTTCTAAATGGTTGTTATCTCAGTGAATCTCGAATAAATGTTAGGGATAAGAAATCATCAGAAATAGTCAAGGCTAACAATATTCACATAAACACAACAACCTGTTCCTCCACTGTTATCCATGCTATGCCAAGTTATTCAAAGTTCTCTGTGATTTCTTTACCGAGATTTTTAGTAAGCTTGTCACTTAAGAATAATAATTTGTCCACTGAATCTTTTCCTTTGGACATGAGTTGCCTAACCATGTTAAAGGAATTATATCTAGATGAAAATCCTATTGTTTCCCTGCCCAGTTGTGTGAGAACCCTTCCTAGACTTGAGACACTTAGTATGAGAGATTGTAATATGCTGACATCAGTCGAGCATCCTCCACATACATTAACAGTTATGAACCTCTATTCTAAACCTAATAAGCATTTGCTACGAAAAGTTATATTTGATCCACAAATGTCCCCACTCAAGCTCTCAGTAGGATGGAGGATGATGGCGCCTTCATCGTCTGAATTTGAAGGTATGCTGAAAATCCAACCAATGTCAGGTGTTGAGGAAAAGTTATTACATTGTCTAGGCTGGACTAAAGTAGATTTCCTTAACAGAAGACTCGTCGTTACTTCTACTGGTAATGCAACATTAAAGGAATCTGAAATCCAGGTTTGGTCTAGTTAACTATTTTTCTTTGTGTGGATATGTATGTATATATAATTAATGTGGTGATTAATGAAGGTGGTTGTATTTTGGCAGATGTATTATGAATTTGGAATATTCAGCACAATTTATGAAGGCGAAGAGATGCCGGATTGGATTATGGATAAAAGCATGGAGCCATCAATATCATTTACAGTCCCATCATCTCCTAACAACCTCATAGGATTAAATTTTTGTTGTTTGCTGACATCTCCATTTCCTTATTATAAGTTCTTTTATTTGCCTCTGATCAAAATTAGTAATATAACAAAGAACCTCACCTGGATATACGACCATTACATTGAAAAAGTCAATATAGGCGGGAAGTTTTTGACATTAAGCCATTGGATGTTTGGGATGAATGAGATGGTATGTGGTGACCATGTTAATATTACTATCCTGAGGGAGAGACCAGATGATTTTGCTTATACAAAGGAATGTGGGGTGAGTTTTGTGTATGATGATGGAGAAGAAAAAGAAGAAGATTTGTTGGGTTATTACAAGTCATGGAATCATATTATTGGTGGAGATCTCATTGGATTTCAATCAACCACCGGAGAATACATCCTAAGCAAATGGCGAATTTTGTTGCCTAACCTTGAAATGGATCAACTAAGTTACGGTTATCTATGTGAAGAAGGCGCCAATTTCAAAGGTAAGATGTCATTCTTATGTACTACTTCTAATATAAAGCTGATAATAACTAAATGGTAGTGTTTTGCTTATAAAGGATTGATGTTTTAATTTTATGCAATCATTTTTAATCAATTTCTTTTCATCAGATAAGTTGTACTTCAAAGCTCTTGTCTCATAGTAAGTCTTGCATACAGGAGGATGGCCCCTAATTTAGGTACTTTTTATCCCTAAAACTCTTTTCTTATCGCATAAATAAAAAATGCACACAAACCAGCTGGAAGTGAAGGCTAAACTTTGTCACCCAACAGATTTGCACTTGTGGCTCACCCGGCAGCTTTGCGAGCTTAAGTAGCCTTCTTTCTGGTTCTTGTTTATGTTTCTTATTTTATTTAGACATATTTATCTCCTTCACCAAAAAACCATATGTTTGTACAACAGAATTTTGATCATATAAGTCATACTTTTGTGTTAATAAATAGATCTTAGTTCAACAGTTACCGATTTTCTTCAAAATACATCACGGGTCACATAAAATCCTCACATATACTGCCAGAATCGGATACAGTTGTTGATGTATTTGAAGTAAATAATGCAATTAATGTTTGTTTAGTAAAAGAGACAGTTATGAGGGATAGGTTTTGAAATATGAAGGAGAAGAAGAAGAGTTGCAGACGTGGGCGATAAAACTGTTCCGGAAGAAAAATGAGGAGTTGTAGTGGTTGTCGTTATTTGTGGAAAGCAATTAATTATAATTTTTTGTGGTTCTTTTAGTGTGTATATATATATATATATATATATATATATATATATATATATATATATATATATATATATATATATATATATATATATATATATATTATAAGTTGGTTAATAAGGTTAAATAAATATCAAACTTAAAGTGCAATCATACATAAACTAAATTTCAATATTAAAAAAATATATTTACTTCTACTTATGAAGTTATGTTTTTTAACTTTTAACATATTATACTCAATTTACCAGTTTCAATATATTGTTGGATGTAAACAATTATCATTTTAAAGCTACAACTTTTGAATAATTTGTATAAAATACTTCAATTATTAATTTAAATATAACATTATAGGGTCAACTTAAATATAAATTTTAGTTTAATTTAGTTAAACCAAAGAATATTTTGTAAATTGTTACAAGTGATAAATTGTAGTGTCTTTCTAGTAATGATTATAAGTTGGTTAATAAAGTTAAATAAATATCAAAACTAAAGTGTAAATATAAATAAACTAAATTTCAATATTAAAATAATATATTTACTTTAACTTATAAAGTTTTCTCTTTAACTTTTAACATATTATACTTAATCTATTAGATTTATTATGTTGTTATATGTAAACCATTATGAGTTTAAAGCTACAACTTTTGAGCAGTTTGGACAAACTACTTAAATTGTTAATTTAAATACATTACAATGTCAACTTAAATATAAATTTCAATTTCACTTGAATAACCCAATGAATATTTTATGAATATTTAAAAATAATAAATTGTAGTGCTAAATGCAAAAACTAAACCGTAATATCAGTTTAAGTAAAATATTTTATAAAGATATTTTTATAATCGCTAAAAATTTAAACATAGGTAGCTTAAAATAACTCTTCATAAATGATTATATTGTTACCTTTAAAATAAAAAAATAAATAAATAATGTATGATGGTTTAAATAGTTATAATGATAGAAACTAAAACTTTAAGCAAATAAATTTTAAAAAATTAATTAACAATAAAAACAACTTTAAATAACATTAAACCATATGTTATATTTAATTTTATTCATGAGTAACTCGCGGGTAGAAGTCATTCAAACGATTGAGATTATACAGTTATAATAGATGTATATATTATCATATAATTCAAAATAATCAATATATTATATCATTTTAGTATACAAATTATTATACTAAATTTATCAACAATGTTACTGTTATATTTAAAAAAAACATATATTTATAAAGATTTCAACTATATAGATCTTTCTGCGCAACGCGTAGGCATTCGCCTAGTATTGTAACATCCCGTTTAAAAATAGAATAATTATATAATAAACCCGGAACCCCGAGAATTAATTTTTATTATCATTTCATATTATTATAGCCCAAAGTCAAATAATAATTAGCGAGATGTTCGTTTCGGGGGTTAAAGTGTAATTTTGGCACTTATTTTGAAAATGTTTTGTAGAGGGGCTATTTGGTATTATTTGGGCTTAATACAAAAGAAATTATGGAAGCAGGGGTTAAAGAGTAAATATCAGGCTTATTTTGTAAGGATTGTAGAAGGCTGGGTAGCAATGGTAATTTCTGGATCAAAATTGAAAGAAGAAGGATAAGGAAGGACTAAAGGTGTCATTATGGGGAAAGTTTGAAGGAGGCGGCATTTAACTATTGCATTGCCTCATTTAACCCTAACCCTAGACACAAAGTTCAGCCGCCACCACCATTCTTCTCCACCTCCGTCGCCGACCTTGTATCCCCATCGTCGGCCGATGTCGCCTTGTTGAGTTCGAGCACCAACCACCGGCATTGCCACCATGCTGAAGTTGCAACGTAATCGTCAACCGTTGCCGACATCACATCCACCAGAGACCGTGAGCCCTTGTCTTCGTTCCTTTCTGTCGGAGCTATCGTCGCCCATCGCCACCATCTGTCTAGCGGACGTTATAGTGGAGCCGCTGCTGTTCGAGCAACTATTTCCTGAGCTACGGTTGCCCTCCGTCGTTCTCACTCCACTGTTGCATTGATACCACCGTCGCTGCCATTGTCGTTGAAGACCCAGTCATCGCCGAACGTTAGGCCGTTGTTGCAGTTATGAACCGTTGCAGTGGTTGCCTCCTAGTGTTGCTTTTCGCTTCTTCTGTTGTCCCGTCATCAGCCACGACCATTCCGCCAACGTCATCTGTGAACGCGCCGCCTGCAGCCTAGTCGATGGTTTGCAACGGCGGTCTTATGTAGTGAATGAATATATGTTATTGTTGGGGCTGTAAACCACCAACCACCGTCGTCGCGTCGCTGTTGTAGCTGTTCATCGGTCCTTTCGCCGTCACCAACCATCGTGAAAGGTGGATGTGTGCGAGTTTTGCTATGTATTTAGGTGTGTGTGTGTAATGTTGCTTTATTGTGTTAAGTGTGTGTGTATGTAGTGTAACCGGAATTCCCGGAAAGGCCACTGCCACCACCGTGAGGTGGTGGCTGCCATCTCCAACCACCGCCTGCCACCACAAGGGTGGTTGGGCGTGTGTATGTGCTCTTGTGTGTGTGTGTGTGTGATTTTATTTGGATATCGTGTTGTCACAATGTAATCGATCGGAATAGTAAGAAAAATTTGTCACCACCACCGTTGACCACCACTACCCGAGGTGGTAGTGGGTGTTGCCCGACCAATGAAACCCTAATGGGCCCAATGAAGCCCAAATTGACCTAAAAGCCTAACCATATGACTAATGGGCTAGTATTGGGTTGGAAACCCTAATTAGGGTTTTGAAAACCCTAATGTCTTGAATCCCTATTTTTGGGGATTGATTAGGACCCGCATTGGAATTAATTAATAAACTTCAAATATTAAATTAATAATCATTTGCAAATTAACCTAAGGTAATATTGGAATTAATGGATTAAGTCCTTAATGGGTTAAGTAAGAACACTTAACCCTAATCGTCATTTCATGTGAAAACCCTAATTTCACTTGGGCCTTGAGTTGGGCCTTTCTATTGGGCTTTGGTGATTGGTGTAACACCCATAAAATTCATGACAAATGTAAACTTTTAAAATCCATTTCAAAATCATCAAATTATTAGAAACGTGTTTTCAAAATGTATCATATCAAAATTTTCCCAGAACCATAGACAAAACAAGAGGAGCTATACAATGATGCCTTCTCCTTTTCGCGATCCCCTGATGTACCTGAAACAATAAACTGAAACTGTAAGCCCGAAAGCTTAGTGAGTCCCCCCAAAATACCAATACACTTCACATAACACATACACATTAATAACAGCATGTACTGGACCACAGCTTTATAGAATGGATTACCGTTGGGCCCACAGTCTAAGTCTGGATTGCCTTTTGGGCCCACAGCTCACATCTGGCTTGCCACCGAGCCCATAGTACGAGTCTCCCTCAGCTCGTATCTGGAATGCTCCACCGACTGGATTACCCCTGGGCCCACAATGTGAGCCTGGAAAAACCACTAGCATGCAGATAATCATATAACTACATAGGTAGTCCTACGGATCTACCTAACTGGCAAAACCACTAGCATGCAACACTAACTCATACTCAATATCTAATACAACTAGGATAACATATCCAATAAGCCGGCCTTGGTGCCTTAGACCCCTTAGTATAGTGAGGATAACTCACCTAGTAAGTAGCTCGAAAGGTAGTGTCAAACTCCTCCAAATGTAGCTCCAACTCCAATACCTATATTCACCAATGTCCTTTGCTATCAAAATCCCATTTACCAAAAACCCTCCGAAGTCAACTGGTCAACCCTGGGTCAAAGTCAAAGTCAACTGTCAAGGTCAACAGTCCATGTTGACCTCAACTCGTCGAGTACCCTCAGCTACTCGCCGAGTTCCTTGCATAACTTGCCCATTCGCCGAGTCACTCGCTTGACACGCTGAGCCCAAGGCAATCTTCACCGGACTCGCCGAGTCGTTCATACGACTCTCCAAGTCTATGACAATCTTCATCGGACTCGCTGAGTTGGCCATGCCACTCGCCGAGTCCTTTCAGTCCTTCATCCAAACAGATGCCATTTACGCCATGCTAAGGCTCCATACTGCAGATCTAAGCTCGTAGGGCATGTTTATCACGTAAAGTTGCAAACTTTACGTGCATGAAAGGTACTAATGACTTAAATCAAGCTAAAGAAGAGGTTCTATGCAAAAGAGCTTCACCAACATGCTAAAGACTGAGACTTTATGATGATGAGAGCCAAGATGAGCCTAGATCTGAAGTTGCAACTTTAGATCTTGGTTCCTCTCTCGAAATGCAACACCGAATGCCCAAAATGGTCCCAAAACTCAAATATAAAAGGGATCTAGCTAGTAGAAGATCAAGGTGATGACTTGATACCTTCAAATGATGGTAAATCGAGGTAGACTTTAGATCCCCAACTGTTCCTTGCTCAAAGATTCTTGATCTTCAAGCATTTCTTCACCAAGATCCACCTTTCAAACTTAAACACACAAGTATGAAGAGAGAATGGAGATTTAGGGTTTTTGGACTCACAGGGGCTGTGAGGGGAGGCTAAGGGGCAAAGGGCCCTTTAAATAGGGTGCAAAACCCCGGGGATTAGGGTTTCACCGTCCAACTCCAACTCATCGAGTCACTCTTCTGAGTCGGTTACTTAAATACGTGGCCTAATCCCGCTTCTAGACTTAGTCGGGGAGTTACAATTCTCCCCCACTTGAACTAGACTTAGTCCTCGAAGTCCGCTGTGGTGAACAACTTCGGATAGTTCTCCCGCATCTCAGCCTTCGGCTCTCATGTCCATTCGGATCCCCTCCGATGCTCCCACTGTACCTTCACCACAGGTATCTCCTTGTTTTGTAAAATCTTCACCTTCCTCTCTAGTATGGCTATGGGCCTCTTAACATAGTTTAAGCGCTCATCGACCTGAATGTCATCCAAGGATACCACCGCCTCCTGGTACATAACACACTTTCGTAATTGCGAAACGTGGAAGGTATTGTGAATCCGACTAAGCTTCTCCGGTAGATCTAGCCTATATGCCACCTTGCCAATTCTGGAAACAATCCTGAATGGCCCAATATATCGGGGACCCAATTTTCCCCTCTTCCTGAAGCGGATCACACCCTTCCAGGGCGAGACCTTCAGAAGTACCATATCACCTACCTAAAACTCTAACTCGAATCGGCGCCGATCAGCGTAACTCTTCTGCCGACTCTGAGTGGTCTGCAGCCACTGCCTAATCTGCTGAATCTTCTCGGTAGTCTGCAAGACTACCTACGTCTGACCCATCATCTTGTGTCCGACCTCACCCCAACAAACTGGGATGCGATATCTCCGCTCATACAACAACTCGAAAGGCGGAGCGCCAATGCTGGAACGATAGTTGTTGTTGTAGGCGAACTCTGCAAGGGGTAGGTGGGAATCCCAACTCCCACCGAAGTCAATAACACACGCCCTCAACATGTCCTCAAGGTTCTGGATGGTCCGTTCACTCTGACCGTCGGTCTGCGCGTGCCTAGTTCCTCATAGAACTTCTGCCAGAAATGGGAGGGAAATCTAACATCTCGATCGGAGACAATGGACACTAAGACCCCGTGGCGAGCAACGATCTCACAGACATACACGTCGGCCAACTTCTCGTCCGACGAAATCTCCCTTATTGCCAAGAAATGGGCACTCTTGGTCAATCGATCCATAATTACCCATATAGCATCACATCCCTTCGCCTTCCTCGGAAACTTGGTAATAAAATCCATCGTGATCTATTCCTATTTCCACATGGGAATCTCCAGGGGTTACAGCTTTCCATGTGGCCTCTAATGCTCGTCCTTGACCATCCTACAGGTCAAGCACCTCTCGACGTACCAAGCGATTTCTCACTTTATACATGGCCACCAGTAACTCAAACTCAGATCCCTGTACATCTTGGTGGCCCCGGGTGAATAGAGAAGTGAGACTTATGAGCCTCCTCCATGACTGTCGGTCTGACCCCACCAGACATCGGAACTCATACCCGACCGCATCGGGTTAATAATCCCCATCTATCCTACACAAACTAGGTGCTCTCACCCCTGATCCTTTCCAACTTCCAGTTCTCTGGCCACATGCCCTCGACTTGGGCATCTCTGATCAAGCTCACAAGTAGAGAATCAACCACTATCCTCATACATACCACTGGGGTGGAAGACCCACCTGACTTGCGGCTCAAAGCTTCCGCAACCACATTCCCTTGACCGAGGTGGTAAAGGATCTCAAAATTGTAGTCCTTGACTACATCTAGCCACCTGCGCTGCCTCATGTTCAGGTTCGGCTGATCCATGATGTGTCTCAAGCTCTTGAGATCTGTGTATATGGTACAACGGACCCCATATAGGTAATGTCTCCATATCTTGAGAGCGAACACCACCGCTCCCAGCTCTAAATCATGAGTAGGATATCTCATCTCATGCGCCTTCAGCTGCCACGATGCATAGGCTATCACTCATCCTCTCTTCATGAGGACCGCCCCCAATCCTGTGATGGATGCATCACAGAATACCAAAAAATCCTCAACTCCCTCCGGGAGTGTCAAGACTGGGGCCTCACACAACCGCTGACGGAGGGTCTTAAACGCCCTCTACTGCTTAGGGCCCCACCGGAAATCCACTCCCTTCCTCGTCAGACGAGTGAGGGGTACTGCAATCTTGGAGAAATCTCGAATGAATCCCCAGTAATACGCTGCCAATCCCTGAAAACTCTTGATATCCGAAGGAGAGCTCGACACCTCCCACTGCATGACTGCCTCAATTTTGGCCGGGTTGACCAAAATCCCTTCCTGGTTAACGAGATGTCCGAGGAACTGGACCTCTCGTAACCAAAACTCGCACTTCGAGAACTTGGCATACAACCGTTCTCATCTCATAACTCCCAACAACTCCCTGAGGTGCTCCTCGTGCTGATCACGGGTCTTGGAATACACGAATATATCATCTATGAACATGATGACCGAGCGATCAAGCATCGGTCTGTATACCCGATTCATCAGGTCCATGAATACTACTGGCGCGTTGGTGAGCCCGAACGGCATCACCACGAACTCGTAATGACTATAACGAGTCT